CCTACCCTGTTCTAGCAGTTCCAAAAAACTCACACCGGCAAGACGACGTTATCAAAATATTTAAGGTAGTGGATGTATGGAAAGAGTTTCAACCCTTCTTATAATACCATCTTTCTATTTCAGCAGAACAAGAAAGTTGTTACCTGACAAAATCTCCCTTTAAAGCTGGAGTACCAGAATACTGGATGCTTATATCATCCCCATGATTGGCCCACACTGAAAATAGTTATAAGGTAAAAGAATAAACGGGTCAAGACAAAGAAGTTTAATATCTATCCAGCACAGAAGCTTTAGCACATAAAAAAAACTGCTCACAGATTTTGAAGTTTTCATCAAGGTTGGGGTGTGAGCTAATAGTTTCTTCTGCATCGAAAGTACCAAGCCTTCTGAGTTGGAATTCCAGCATTTTCCGACCTAGCATGCTCTGAAACCAAACATCGTCAACTAGAACATCTGTAAAGTGTGACTAGAGGTTGAAAAAGTTAACCCAAATTGGTACGAGCTCCTCAGAAGGGAAGATACCTGAGTTACATTTGTACGGTCTAAGCAGTCAATGCAGTTGGTCCTCACAACTCCGAGTTGCAGCTCAACTTTCTCACCTTTCTCATTTAATAGAAAGTACCTATACATAAGAATAAGAAATCCAAATCTAATGATCAAGATCAGGTGAAAAAACGATTAGATATTACAAGAAGAGAACTGGTAGGGGATAGCTTCTATTCCTCCCTGCTTAACAAAACACCAAACACAAAGAATTATGCAAATATAGAGTCTCTAAAGACAACAGCATGCAATTGATTGTTGCTTGGTCCACAGAAACTCCCTTGTTAAGTCCAATACCATCGATGCGCTCCCTATTTTCTGCTCTCTCTCCTAGTATTTCCTGATTGAGTCTGCTATTTGGTTTAGTTTTTCAGTTTCACTCCAATTTTCTAGCCAAATAAAAAAAAAAGCTTTCTTCCTACTGCTAATGTTGCTGCCTCTGCATGCGACATAGGTGTTTTGGCATAATATTTTGCTTTGGAGATGTATAACATGAAATGACTCATTCTGGTTTCACTTATTTGTTTCTAATAGTTCCTTCTACGATAGAGTACTTCCTATTAAGTATGTAAAAGTCGTCACAATGACTTCATAGATTCAAGTGCACAACATGCTGACTTAGATTGGATTTCCTGACTAGTTCTTGGTTACGAAATTCAATCCAGGTTTAAATGGTTTATTTGTCCCTCCCAGAAAGAATAAAGAGCTATAAAATCAGTTAAAATTCTTTACAATTAACCCACCACACCCTCCATGATTTAAACAACCAAACCTGGGCCAATTGCTGCAGGCCAGAATGGGTCCTTGCACATCCCATCTCTACTATCATCCCTCTCGATTTAGGTAGATGAGATTCAGATTCAGATTAGGAGCATATTTTATGTTATCCCACATTAGTTGCGGCTAGTAATGGAGTAGAGAAAACTGAAACTATATTCAAGATAGTAAATAGTGCCCAATAATATATGTTTGTGTGAGTATGTATTAGCTCAACACTTGGAAGAGGGTATACCTATTTTTAATGAAGAAATCCTCAATTTGATCATAGAGGATAGAAAGACGTTCAAAATGAACGTGCCCACATATGTGGTGAAAATCAAAGTGCAAGTATCTGCAAAAGTCATATATTAGAATGAAGTGTGCTACCGATAAATTCATACAATTTACCACAAGGAAGAAACTTAGAGACCTACCTGTCATCGTCACCAACAACATGCTGCATTGCATTCGCAAACTTTTCACTTAGGCGTCCTTCTCCTCCATGCTGATAAGAGTTTTGGAGGAAAAAGTCAAGAACGGATAGATAAAATTGTCTAGATATATCGATGCAAATATACATCGTTTGTTTTTCATACATATCACATTAAAGATGAGACTGCCTCCAAGGTATCAGAAAAAATCAAGCCACGTTTCTAACAGACCAAATAGCCTGGAAAAACAAGAATGACTTTATACCTTATTGACAAGATCAATTGATAAAACATTTCCGTACTTCTTTCTCAGATCCAGGTAGTGTCGCTCAACAACTCTAGGCTGTAGAATGTTACACAACAAATTCATCAAAAGTGAAAGGCACAATAAGTGTGTTAAAGAATCGAGATACTAAAAACAAAAGACAGTGGTACTCAACTGCTTCTATAATTCTCACTATCTCAAACTTGGGCTTATATGTTAAATCAACAATCTGATTCCATAGTAATGGGATTGACCCTCTGACCTACAAAAGGCAATAAGTCTTATGAAATAACAGGATACCTCAAACAAAAAGTGAAAAATGAACATATGCACCTAAGTCTTTCACATAGAGCACGAAGCATTCTAAAATGTGATGTATCAGTAAAACTCAAGCACTCATTTAAGATTGTGAATTTCTGGACCTTTCCTTTCGCTACTAGCCAAAAGATTTTCCTTTTCCGTAAAGAGATGACTTTGATCATACACATAGTCATTATCAAATTGGACACCAAAAGGGATCTTTTATGCTTCTCGTTATACAGCTCTACAGCTTCTGAACCCAGTCAAATTAGATTCAGGAGACGTGTCATTCTGGCCCACATGGAAATCAAAACCCATCCACATTTCTTATTAAACTAGTAAAGAATAGGTGATACGAAACCTGTCAAGAAAATGTTAAAGAGATAAAACACACCCGCACATAAACACTGATTATGCGGGAGATTATCTACTGCTAAGCAACTAATGAAAATTCAAGCAAATAGAAGATGAGCTATTGTCAGGCAGAGAGTTAATAAGTTTTATTGTCTTTGTCAAACCAAAATGTACATTGCATCTCAGAGGTCCTGTATTGAGAATTGAACTGTCTTTCATTAGTAAGCTCACGAGAAAACTTTGATAAGTCAAATAAATGACGCAGTACATTATAAGAAGGATTTCTATACAGAATGGTCTGAACACCAAAAACCGTCTTGATAATTGATTTAGTTATTTCTTTAGTCTGATGACATCCTGTCCTCCACCCTAGTACTCTCGATTCCTTCTAATCAAACCCTTCTTCTATCACCAACTAGAGGAAACACACACACAACTTGCACCACAGAGAAAGTAGAACAAAAGTTATTAGAGTTATATGTTTAAACATTTTATCCCAACAATATCAATAACATCAGGATTTTAAGTAAACCCCCTCAGTCATCTACATATTTATAAAAGGGTATCAGCAAAATTGTTGGTGTAGAAAAAGTCATAATTAAACTTTGAACAAGTGTACCTGAACAAATGATGCTGTATACCCTTTCAGCTGGATAATTTGCTCACTTTCCACAAAATTTGCAACAAATCCATCAGAATCAGCCCCTCTTCTCCACATTCGAGTGCCTACATT